TTTCACCATATTGGTCAGGCTGGTCTCGAACTCCTGACCTCAGGTGATCCACCCGCCTCAGCCTCCCAAAGTGCTGGGATTACAGGCGTGAGCCACCGCGCCCAGCATAGCTTCCTCTTTCATTCAGTACTGACATTTTGCTGAGAAAGGCTGTACCGTGGACTGCTCAGGTGCACCAAGGAGCAGAGCTGAGGAGCTCTGCAGCTTGTTCTTCCCTCACCAAATCTTTCATGTTAGCTGCGCAGCTAAGGTTTGCAGGGGCAGTAGGCAGCAATGTGAGGGATCCCTGAACTCCAGGCTCTTGTTGGGTTCCTTTTCTGCCAATAGCAATTGCAGAAATGACAGTCCTGAAGGCTGTCTCACTGCCACTGAGGTGCCTCCGGGGGTTTTGAAGTGGATCTGTGCCCATTTTTTGCCAGGAAAAAGTAGCTGTGCTTTTGCAAAAGAGAAAACCTGTTGTTTTAAGATAATACATTACATTTTAGAAAAAGCTTGCTTTTTTATACAGATCCATAATTTTATAGTGACCAAAAATTTCTTATGTTCTTGCAGTTTGAGATGTACTGTGTACCAGGCAATGTTTTTCAAATACTTGTTTCCTTTTGTCAGGGTGCAGCCTTTGTAGAATTTGATGTACACCTTTCAAAGGACTTTGTGCCCGTGGTATATCATGATCTTACCTGTTGTTTGACTATGAAAAAGGTATGTTGAAATTTCTTTATTTTATTTTTTTCTTCATAATAGACACCTACAGAAGAAATTTCTTCATTTCAAACTCTTAATGTTAGGTAAAAGGTTTAAAAACTAGGAAGTTTGTATATTTTAAATTACTTATTAAATAGAATTGGTTGATTCATTTTCTTGGTGAATTACTGCCAGTGTTCCCTGCCATGCTCTTACAACGCTGAGTGAGTGGTGATATGGAAATACTGCCTTCCTAGAGTAGGGCCTGTTGCTGAATATACTTTACTGTATTACAGAAAAAGGACATTCCAGGTGGTTTCTGTAGCAGCCTGTCTGTGCTACTATATTGAGACAAGAGAAGAAGACATCGTAGTGTTTATTTTCTAGGATCCCAGCTGTTTCTGCTTCAAGTTTCTTCTACAGTTAATAAGGCCAGTAAGCCACAGTGAAAAATTCAAAAGGTGGTTTGGAGTTAGATGCTAGAGGGCCTCAGTCAAGAGGTTTAGACTCAAGAGCTAGGGAGGTAAGAAATACTTTTTAGCTGGCCAGGCACGGTGACTCACGCCTATAATCCCAGCACTTTGGGAGGCTGAGGCAGGCGGATCACCTGAGGTCAGGAGTTCGAGAACAGCCTGACCAACATGGAGAAACCTCATCTCTACTAAAAATACAAAAATTAGCCAGGCATGGTGGCACATGCCTATGATCCCAGCTACTTGGGAGGCTGAGGCAGGAGAATTGCTTGAACCCAGGAGGCTGAGGTTGCAGTAAGCCGAGATTGTACCATTACACTCCATCCTGGACACCAAGAGTGAAACACTGTCTCCAAAAAAACAAAACAAAACAAAACATGACAACTTTTTAGCTGAAAAGGGAAATGTTCAAGACTAATGTTTTGGTAGCTGATGTAATAGGAACTTCAGAGGACAGAGACTGCAGGCAGGGGCAGCAGCAATGTGGGCTACAGGTAAGCGACTGGAAGAATGGAAAAGAGAGCGTAAGGAAGCGGAGTCCAGAGGAGATTCAAAATTTTATATAGTTTTTAAAAAACGGTAATTGTTTTCATACAAACATAATTGAGATAACGATATTGTCCCTAAACAATATATTGTCCCCTGAATCACTTAAGATTCCTCAGGGAAGGATTTCATTTCTAGGAGGGTTCATTCCACATTTTCTCTAAAACCATGTTGGGTATTAATTTCCAACTGAGTTGATTTAAAGTTAGGCCAGTTTGCTAACATCACTGTACCAGATACTGCCTGTTGTATTAAAGAATGTGACAAGGAACCTGGCACCACCTGCTAGTGGATTTTAGTCAGAGTTCCTAGGGGTTGGATTATTATGATATATAGGAAATGACCCTTTGTTTCTGTGAAATGATATTAGGGGAAGGAAGGAAGGAAAGGAAGGAGGGAAGGGAGGGAGGAAGGGAGATGCATCTAGTCAGATTACGTAAGTAGAATGACCACCCACTTGGAACAGGTCGTTCTTGCCATGGAAGAACGTTAATGAAAAGATAAATGAGAAAGAGTGAAGTCATAAATGATCTTATTAGCCAAGATCGAGATTAATTGATCTAGCTGCAGTTTATTTATTTATGAATTTATTTATTTATTTATCGAGTCCGAGTCTTGCTGTGTCACCTAGAGTGGAGTGCAGTGGTGCGATCTTGGCTCACTGCAACCTCCGCCTCCTGGGTTCAAGTGATTCTCCTGCCTCAGCCTCTTAAGTAGCTGGGACTGCGGGTGCACGCCACCATGCCCAGCTAATTTTTGTTTCCTTTTTTGGTTTTGTTAGTTTGTTGGTTTTTGTTTTGAGACAGAGTCTAGCTCTGTTGCCTAGGCTGGAGTGCAGTGGCATGATCTTGGCTCACTGCAACCTCCGCCTCCTGGGTTCAAGCAATTCTCCTGCCTCAGCCTCCCTAGTAGCTGGGATTACAGGTGCCTGCCACCTCGCCTGGCCAATTTTTGTAGTTTTTAGTAGAGACGGGGCTTCACCATGTTGGCCAGGCTGGTCTTGAACTCGTGACCTCAGGTGATCTGTCTGCCTCAGTCTCCCAAAGTGCTGGGATTACAGGCATGACCAGTGTGCCTGACCAAGCTACAATTTATGTCTAAAAATCAGTGAGAGTTCAAGTATTATTAATTCCCCATTTTCACTAGGCTATATCTTCATCTGAAGTTGAACCTGAATGAAATAATTGGGAAATGAAAGCAATGAATTTTTATATTGAATTTTAATTTTTAAGCTGGTATTTTTCTTATTAAAAACAATTCATGTTCATTAGAAAAATATATAAGTATTTCAGAAGATTATAAAATGAGAAATAAATTGTTCCTGTTTTTCCTTGTTCTCACTCCCTTACTCTTAATAGTTTCTTTTACATTCCAGAAAAACTTTATGCATGTACAGGTTCATGCCAATGTACATGAATGAATATATATATGATGGATTTTACTATATTTGTTGCACAGATGATTTGCTGGTGATACCTTAAGTCATTTACTGTAGAAGAGTGACATTTGATCATTTGATAGACATTAAAACCTAATACAACAGATTTGCTTGTGGGGGAAACATGATTATCAGCATGCTTGTTAAGTATTAGGGTTTACAGCTAATAAGACAATTTTTCATGACGCTTGATGTGTCTGCTGTTTTTAATCAAATGTTAGCTTAAAAGGCTTCGAAAAGATTAGGAACAGCCAGGCGTGGCGGGTCACCCCTGTAATCCCAGCACTTTGGGAGGCCGAGGCGGGTGAATCAAATTGTGTTTGAGACCCTCTTGGCCAACATGGTGAAACCCTGCATGGTGGTGCATGCCGGTAGTCCCAGCTGCTTGAAAGGCTGAGGCAGGAGAATCACTTGAACCCAGGAGGTGGAGATTGCAGTCAGCCAAGATTGCACCACTGCACTCCAGTCTGGTAACACAGGGAGACTCTGTCTCAAAAAATAAAAGATTAGGAAGTGACAGAAATAAATTTTATATAGTACTTTCATATATTGATTTCCTAGTCACATAGCATGGGTAAGTGTCAAACAAAATGTATAGACAGCATAAGAACTGGGGAAATGACTGACTCTGGTTCTGTCCTCAGTTGTCTTCAGTGCTACACTTTCTCCCTGCTGCTCTTTTCTTGCAGGTATTCTACACTTGCAATAACAACAAAAGCCAGAATATGAGGGCTGGGAGGTGGTATTAGGTTAGAAGGGCTCTCCTGCATGGGCTCAGTGTGGCTACTAACAGTTATTCTCATCGTTGAGTAAATAGAGATGCTAGGCCTGTCTAGTGTAAGCATTCAGTAATAATTTAGAGCTCACTTTTAACTTTATTCTTTTTTTTTTTTTTTTTTTTTTTTTTTTTTTTTTTTTTTTTTTTTTTTTTTTTTTTAGAAATTTGATGCTGATCCAGTTGAATTATTTGAAATTCCAGTAAAAGAATTAACATTTGACCAACTCCAGTTGTTAAAGGTAGTAATAGTAGCATGAAATGTAAATTATCCTTTAGCTTTAGGACTATTATACTTGCTAGTATGTGGTAATGTTCTCTTTGCACATGGGGATGACTGTTATATTTAATGTGTACAGTGTGTGCTTTGGCGTTCTGTTCTGTTTGGGAGAATGGGTCTGCGTTGGTCCAGCTGTATTCTCCAACCATTTCCATGGACCCCATTGGTTTTTGTATTTATGAAGGAACGAACTAGACCACAAATATTTGTAGGCCACAGGGGCTAGCTAGCCCTTCTCACTCATACTCTTAGGTTGCTTCTGTTTGCAGTAGCCCTTCTTCATAGAACAGTCATTATTTTACAATAGGTCTTTTATGCAATAGTTGGTAAATATATATTCATTTCTAATAACCTTTGAATATTTTGCATCATGTAATTTTCCCTGGTTCCTCTTCCTGTCCCCATTAGGTACCTAAATAAATGCATGATTAACTATAAACAGTTATCTAATAGAGAATTTTTATATTCCCTAATTGAGTCTTTGATCATTATCTAACATATGTATATGCACACAGAAAGTATATACAGTGGCTTGTGCTTATTCTATATAAGCTTTTTTTTTTGTTTTTTGTTTTTTTTGTTTTTTTTT